CCAACGGTTCCATCCCCAAATTTACGGCTTTTTAAAAAATTTCTTTATGCCTATTTTAAAAGAAAGTATTTCTTTTGTTGCAGGAATTGGTCCCAAAAATATTATTTCAATGTGATATAATATTACCATTAAACATTTATGAAGAAACGTTCGATATTGATATATTTTCAAAATTTGGGATGTCATAATTGATACAAAACATAAGCATAAACAGATCTTACATTAATTTATACTAAGGATCTATATCTCCTTTAATCTCTCAATGTAATGTATCTTCGCACCGATACCTGTGATACAAATAAACTGAGTGGATCGGGTTGGGAAACCTGGTGAGATACATAGGGTTTTCAACCCACAATAATATAGTTAATTTGTTTATTCACATACCTCATATCAAAAAATTCACCTATTTATCCATCCCCATTTTCTTTATTTATTCTTCCCAAAGGATTTATCCTAAGGGTCATCTCCTACATCGCATTTACGTATCATCACCTTCATTGCATTTACATCATGTTTTTTTCTAAGGACTCTTACTAAGGATCATCTCCTACATCGCATAGACAGTACTATTTTGAGGATTACTCCCCCAATACGTGTCCAGTAAGGGTTAGAGTATCATCATATGAATACGTAGTTACTACATCACATGCACTCGTAATTCATCAGCTACAGGTTATGAGCTTGCCAGTGTTTCCACATGACTTGTTTAGATTAGTCAGTGGTCACCATCTATACTTCGGCAGATAACTACATTGCAACATCGCAAGTCAAGGTGATGGCATCTCCTAGTCATCTTATATTTATTATCACCTATCTATCATCACATATCTATCATCTCCAATATACCATCGCCTATTACTACCCAATACATATTTATAAGTGTATAATACTTATATGATTAAATCAGTTAAACGTCATCTCATAATATCTTATCTAACACGTAATATTCTCAGCACAAAATCACTGATAAATCTTATTTATAGGTTCATAATAACTATTATGAATATAAATACAAGTTACACTTAAAGTAATATATGTGTAGCTTAACTTACAGAGTGTTCTAGCAAAAAGTCGAGAATTTTACTAGCAATATTCCGACTCGAGAGTTTCTATTTGTTGGGCTGTCTGACGCCTTAGAGCCTCAATAAGATATTACAAAAATCTGAAAACTTCATAAAATGGGATCTATAGAGAGAGAGAGGAATGTTTGGGAGTGATTTGTAATGAAGAAATGAGGTAAAATCATCTATTTATAGGCTTTTTAGGAGCCTCTCATGTCGTGAGACATGCTTGCCACGTCGTGACCTTGCATAGGCAGCAAGCAAAAACGCATGTGCAACTTCGATATTCAAAAATTTATAACTTACACATACGATATCCGCTTTTGACGTTCTTTATATCCACACGTAGCTACCGACAAGATCTACAACTTTCATTTAGACTCTGTCGGTTAGTTTTGAATTTATTTTTAAAGTCATATTTTAACATGCTTAGACTGTTAAAGTCCGTTAAAAATTCATAACTCTCTCGTCCGACGTCCGCTCTCTCTCGATTGTCTTTATATCGACACACTCCTATTAACGAGATCTTAAATTCTCGTTTAAATCGTTTCGGCTAAAAATCAACCGATCTAAAATTCGATTTATGAGCTGTATACTCCTACGTTGAATTTTAGAAAAATCATAATTTCCTCTATATGCACTCTCTCGGTTTAACAACTACTACGACTTTCGTTTAGACCACTTAGGCTAAAAAGTAATTTATCAAAATTAACTTTTTACGATACGCAGAGTCGTGTCGGTTTAATCGTGAAACTTCGAAGAAACATAACTTCTTCATACCAAGTCGGATTCCAGCGTTGTTTATATGTACGACATAGTGTTGTTTACATGTACGACATCCTTCTGAAATGTAATATACTTTTGGTTAAGATTATTTATCCTACATAATCATTTACTAAAAAATTATTTTTAATGTTTATTATAAATTAACTTACTAGTCCGAATCTGTGGGTGTAAAATTACTACTTCAACTTTTGTTAACAATGTTTATCCTCAATAATATTTTATTTTGAAATGTCATTTTATTGCTTCTCGAAAATTCTTATACTAGGGTTTTTTGCAAATATTCTATACCCCTAATATTTGTCCACTTAATGTGTATAAGATAATTATTTATTATCTTGGAACACATATGAAAACAATTTACTCTAATCAACAATTATTAATCGTTCGACAAAAATTATAATAATTATTATTATAACTTAAGCTTCTAGCCCAAAATATCGGGCCTTACGTGTGTGTGTCTATATATATAGATATAGATATATATATTATCTATATATATATATATATCTATATATCTCATATATATATATATTATAGAGAGAGAGAGAGAGAGAGAGAGAACCTCATAAATGGTCACTATTATTTTTCGAAATCTGGGATATAGTCCTTAAGTTTTAAAAACCTCAAAAATGGTCATTGTGAGTTCAAAACGTTTAACAAATAGTCCCTCACCCAGATAAAAAGACTTATTTATCCTTTTTACTTATATTATTAATGGTTTTTATTTAAATCTATTTAATAAAAATGGAAAAAAAATTTAATAATTTGGTCCCACATCTCTCTTTCTCTCTCTCGCCCTCTATTTCTCTGTGTTTTGTAGTAAATAAAAAGAAAAAATATAAAATTTTATTACCCCAAGGATCTGGAGCAGGGAAGGGGTTTAGAACAGAATCTGAAGCAGCCGGAATTACGGGCGTTTAGATATATATATATATATATATGATATATTATATAATTATATATAATATATATATATATATATTATATATATAAATAGGAAGGTATTTGGAAAACAAAAAAACCCTAAAAAAACCCAAAAATCATAAAATGCATGAAAAAAAGTACCTAGACATTACAAACTTTTTTTGAATTTTTTTTTATCAAAAAATCGCAGCCTTTTTGACAATTTCGCTGAAAAAAAATAACAAAAAATCATTTTTTGTTTCAAAAAATTTCAACGTTATATGTTAAAAGCTGTGTTTTTTGATAAAAAAATTCAAAAAAAAGTTTTGTGATGTCTAAGTATTTTTCTTATGCATTTTTTGATTTTTTGGTAGGGCTTTTTTTCGGGTTTTTTGTTTTCCATAGAACCTAAACCTATATATATATATAGATATATATATATATCTTCTATATAATCTATATCTAGATATATATATATATATATATCTATATATATATATATATAGACAAAATTTCATAAATGGTCACTGTTATTTTCCGAAATCTGGGATACAGTCCTTAAGTTTAAAAAAGCACAAAAATGGTCATTGTGGTTTCAAAACATTGAACAAATAGTACCTCACCCACATGAAAAGGCTTATTTATCCTTTTAATATATTATTAATGTTATTTATTTAAATCTATTTTTAAAAAAATTGAAATAAAATAAATAACTTGGGCCCACATCTCTCTCTCTCTCTCTCTCTCTCTCTCTCTCTCTCTCTCTCTCCTCTCTCTCTCTCTCTCTCTCCCACCCTCTATTTCTCTGTGTTTTTTAGTAAATAAGAAAAAAATATTATAAATACTTATTACCCCAAGTTTGATCCGTCGCGGAGAAGGGTGTGAGATCAGAAAACAAAAATATGCCTATGTGCATAATGTGTTTCATCTACAATCAGAAGAAAAAAAAAAGAGGCAGGGGAGTGAGACCCGAACTCCTCACTGGCGAAAATGGTTGTGAAGTAATAAGGGAAATCCCTTTCCCTCCGTTGGATTTTGATGGAGGACTGAAACTGAGAAACAAAAGCGAGAAAAGTGGTGTGGAGTGGTTGACGGGGATATTACAATCCACCAGTCGCGGCGGCGACATTATAGTGGGGCTAGTGGATCGGAAAGGATGGGTGGCCGTTGGTAGTCAGAGCTGCAAGAAATCGGCAAAATAAAAGCTCAACCATACTGCCTTCTTCATTCAGTTGATTTGTGTAATTTCGATGTTATACAACTCCCTTACTCTTTACTTCCTTCTTCAATAGTCTCTCTGCATCTGCTCAATAAGAACCAACCACCATTTAACGTCAAATTTGAAAGAAGGGGTGGTGGTAAGGCGGTAAAGCGCCAGTATGTGGGTAGGGAATTTGTGTCGGTTTTAATAAAACTCACTGCCTCCCTCTTTAGACTTCACTGAGACTGAAGATGAAATTTTAGTTTTGATTTAGAGGAATCTAGGACTATTATTGATGTTTCTAGCATTTAGTTGTTGACATCAAGGGAAGAATGGTGAAGATCGGAGAAGAGAGTAGGTCGCAATTGGAGAAGGAGTAAAAAGGATTATGGAGAGAGAAAGAGAGAGAGAGAGAGAGAGAGAGAGAGAGATGTGGGCCCATATATTTATTTTCTTTATCCTTATTGTTTTAAAACATATTTAAATAATGAAAATAATATATATATATATATATATATATATATATATATATATAATATATATATATATATATCTATATATATATTAAAATGGCAAATAAGTATTTTTATGTCGATGCGAGACTATTTATTAAAAGTTTTGAAGTCACAGGGACCATCTATGAGGTTTTGTTTTTTAAGTAATGACTATGCCTCAAATTTTGGGAAACCATAGGGACCAATTATTAAATTTTGTCATATATATATATATATATATATATATATATATCTATATATATATATATATATATATATAGAGAGAGAGAGAGAGAGAGCTAGGTTCAGGTATTAAAAGTAATTATTGTGTTATTGTATGCATTAATGTGGGCCAATCATTTCAAAAACTTAAATAAGGATATGTAATCTTACCTATTAATTAATTTTGTTAAATAAATAAAAATTTAATTAATCCCTAAAATATTGGATTGCTTTCCTATAAATCCCTTCAAATTCGTTCAAGACGCAGACCCTAAAATCCTTTGAAGGCTCCTGCTTCACTCACATGTCCATCCAACCGACGACTTAGCACTACCGTCGTACCACTGGAAGTTGTTGTCGCTCCTCTGCCGGTGTCGCACACCATCTGCCGACCATTCTTGCATCTCCATTTGACCCTATTCTCCTCATCGCTGCTCCTGCTTCACACCCCATCCCACCCAAATCTGGTAATATATCGCCGCCCTCGCAACACCGGAAGCTGCCTTCTCTCTTCCTCAGCGGTGTTAGGACCATCGTTTGGGTTCGGAGGCGGAATGGGTCGTGGTAGCCGGGTAAGATCCTGGGCCCCGATGAGCTCTCTGCTTCTCCTCTCATGTCTCGTCGATCTGGAACTCCTGTCAAACTTCGTGGGAGGGAAGATGCCACTGTGTAAGTCCTCTAATTCACTTCCTCGATTTCATTCTTATGCTTTCTGTTCTCGTGTATATTTGTTGGAATGCTGAAAGAACAAAGACAATTGGTGCGCTTTTCATTTGTTGAGGAAGTAAAAAAAGAATGATTGGGTTAAGAAATCTTAAATAACACAAAAATAATTTTATGAGAATATTGCACACCAGGTGTTTGTAGAAATGTCTGAAAGAGAACTTGATGTTCAAATTCTTGAAGAACACAAAAATAATTTATGAGTTCGTTATTTGTGTTACTTGATTTTAACATGTAGTATGAGTTCTCTAAGAATTACTAAAATTTGTTTTATTTTAATCGTATAAAAGCATTCTCACATAGTTTTATTCTTACATAATTCAATTTCATGACAGTTATTCAAGCCCTATTATCTTCACTTGTTTTACAAACATAAAATATTCATTTAAATTACAACAAGGTGTATTCGGGATTTTGCATTTTCAAAATAGATTATGAGTTTTGATTTGCAACTATAATAATAACTAATAAGCATTCTTCATAAGGCCTAATTGTCAAATTAGATACGTTGCTATTTTATTATTTAAAACAAATATATTCATCATTTTGGAAGTTTTTGCTTGTAATTTGTGAATTTTGTTTTAAGGATTGTCATACAATTTCATGGTAGTTATTCTTATAAAATGCTCAATTTCATAGCAGTTATTCTCATAGAATACGTGAAGGAGACATGCTGATCAAGGGCGTGAACGTTGGATGATGGCGCGTGAGATGAAGATGAATAATGCTCAATAGTCTTCACAAAAGCAACCACTGGCAGAATAGTCCATAATAAAATGATCAAGTGCATTCGTTCAATAATTCTATATTTAATAATTCTATGCTTTTTAAAATCTTTATTTACTTTTTATGACATTCTGTTAGAATATGTGTAATTGTATTAAAATGTACAAGACTATTACTCTATAAGAATATGTATGAATTTACATTTACATTCAATGTCTATGAATATATATAAGAATCATGTTATTTTTAAACTGATGGTTCAAAACTATTTTTGTCTTCAAAAATATTCATTCATTCAAAACATTTATTTTGTCAGAATAGATAATCTGACATTCTCATAGAATATCATTCTAACAGAATTATCTTAGAATTATAATCTAATTAGTTAAAAAATCAAAATTCAAAATTAAGAAAATCAAATATCTCTGAAAATTCGAAACTTTTTATTAATTAAAATTGTGTTTCCAAATTAGTAAATTTTTGGTAAATTAAGAAAGTGAATGTTACCTATTTATTAAATGGAAAGCTTTTTCTTTTTCTTTTGCTTTTTCTTTTTCTTTTTTAATTTCTTTAACCACAATAATCACTTTCTTAATTTACCAAAAATGATTGGCCTACATTTATGCATATAATAACACAATAATTATTTTGAATAGAATAATCTAGGCCTATATATATATATATATAATATAATATATATATATATATATATATATATATATATATATATATATATATATATCTTCCGTTGTCCCTTAAGTTGTCTAAGAACTCTCATAACTCAACAATTATAGCCTTCTTATATTTCTTTAACGGTTGATCAACAATTTTATCCTTAATAATATAGTATTTGATACCTAAATAACATCTATATTTTTCTGGGAGTTGTTGCAAAACCTTATTTTGATGCTTTTATCTTTCTTGGTCAATAATAATATATGATGCTTCAGGATCAAACTACACTAGTCTAGGGTATGTTTCTTTTTTCATTGATTGTGAATACATTGATAACTTGGATCTAAACTTCTAGGTGTCATATTTGTGAAAGTATTAAGGGATATCTGTTTGATGATATCTAAGGATATGCATATGTAAATAGTCCTGGACATATTTCATTAGAAGATTATTATCTCACACACCTTTTTTTGTAACGCTCGCGTTTCCTGCTAGACATTAATAAGATGATGTAATTGTTAGTGTCCACAATTGTAACCTTTTATGAAATAAATAAAGATAACTATTTGAGTATTATGTGATTTTATGTGTAATATACGTACTTATAACGATATAAGAAAAGAGGAATAAAATATGCGTCTAAAGTAGAATAATAATTAGGTCGAATGTCCTTGATGAAAGATGAAGTAGTCAAGATAAGGATTTCGAAGATATAAGAAACGTTGAAATCCGACTTCGTATGAAGAAGTTATGCTTCTTCGAAGTTGCGTGATTAAACCAACAATACTCTATATTAGGGGTGTGCAGAAAACCGCACAAACCGCATAAACCGCCCGCACCGCACCACACCGCACCGCATAACGCGGTTTGGAACATTCTCGGTGCGGTTTGTGGTTTTTAAATATGAAACCGTGGTTCAAACCGCACCGCAACACACACACACACACACACATATATATATATATATATATATATATATATATATATATATATATATATATAACCAATTGCTCATACATGTAAATAAACGAAGAACAAATCGAAGATTGAAGGATGCAAGATATGGATTGAATTGATTTCATAACTAAGATGAAGTTTTTATTTCATTCAAATTATTGATAATTGTGTAGTTTAACCTCTCTGTGTGTCATTTATCATAAACATCTTTTTTTGTTAATTCTTTATATGTTTTTTTTTATTATATCGTATAATACTTTTATAACATATATATAATTCTTCAAACCGCATAAACCACATCGCACCGCCTAAAACCGCAACGCACCGCATAATGCGGTTTACATGGTTCGCGGCGCGGTTTGTGGTTTTCGAAAAACTCAAACCGTATATGTGGTGCGGTTTGCGGTTTTGGCTGTAAACCGCACCAAAGCGCACCGCGAACACCCCTACTCTATATATCATAAAAAGTGAAATTTTCATAAATTAGTTTTTAGCCTGATGATCTAAATGAAAGTCGTAGTAGTCATTAAACCGAGAGTGTGCATATAGAGAATGTCCAAATCTGACTTCGTGAGAGGAAATTATGATTTTTCAAAGTTTCAGCATAGCAGTGCGGACACAAAAATCAAAATTCTAACCAGTTGATTGTTAGCCAAAACAATCTAAATGAAAAATGAAGATCTCATGAATACGAACCCGTCGATAAAAAGATCATTAAGAATGGAGTCGATATGTAGAAGTTATACTTTTTGCAGCGATTCCCAACAGCCTAAGCATATCAAAAATATAAAATTTTGATAGATTGCGAATTAGCTGATGGGGCCTAAAGGAAAATTGTAGATCTCATCGAGAGCCTTATGTGGATATAAAGAACGTCGAAAATGGAGCTTGTATGAAGAAGTTACACCATTTTGAAAATCTGGAAAATCGAGCACGCGAAGTGTGCGACACGTGCTGATGATGTGGAACCATGAGAGTACACCACGTGGCCATGTCGGGCAGCCCCTTTATTCCGAGACATAGTGACGTGGCTTCATGAGATTTTGACACGTGGAACCTTCTAGAAAAGGCATACACGGACAAATGAGGCGACGACACGTGGCATAAGCCCAAAGGAGCCAACACGGCCATAGGGCGTGACATGCTCCCATACATGCATGACACGCTTGGATTTTCTTGGCTAAAAATAGTGGCCTTCGGATAAGCATTCACCCCCACACCCTTAAACACTTTCCATCTTAAGCAATCTTCACCGTTACACCATTTTTCCTCAATTTTTGTGTTCCGGCGAAGCACGGGAACCCCTAAGGTATTCAACCAAGTAGTGTCCATCAAGTAGGAGCCCTACGAGCTCAATTTCCATATTCTGGTCAGGAGGAACCTATGTAAGTTAAGTTGCACTCTAGTTCTTTCATTGTAACTTGTATTTATAATCATAAGTCGTTATTATGAATCTATAAATAATAATTATCAGTAATTCCAAGTTATAATACCGATTGACCTACTTACGGGAGAGGTGACTAGAATGGTCATGTTGGCTTGGTTGTTGGATTTCAGAAAGACTATATGCCGAAATCTTCTTTCCTTCCAATTTTCTAGCATGGTTGATCCATATTTGATAGAACTATCTATATTTATTGGAATGATTGCTAGGTCTAGGCTATCATTATAGATGTTAGAGTAAGACTTAGTAATAATGATACTAGGTCACGTCAAAGGAAAGATCAAGTGCTAGAACCGGAGCATTGCCCGAGTTTCGAAACATCACTTTAACAAGTGAGTGCATAGTATCTTCAACTTTACACATAGATATGAAGTATCTAGATAATTATATGCTAATGTGCCTATTATCTGTACTTCCTCATATTTGTGGTAGATGAAATATTATAACATAATTTTATTTGATTTAAACGTGTATGTATGTATATATATATATATATATATATATATATATATATATGTGTGTATATATATATATATATATATATATATATATGGTAGGAAAAGGATGATAATGATGAAATAAATAAGTTGAGATGATGATAAGATGAGAGGCCTTGACTTTATAGATGTTCTAGTTGTCTGGCGGAGTATAGATGATGACCATAGACTATTCTAGACAATTGAGTGGAACGCTAGCAGGCTCACAACATGTATGTGTTTTTAAACTATGTCTTCACTAAAGATGTACTCCACCCCCACATGGTTGCCTTATTTACATTTATTTGGTAAGGAATCCCCTAAGTAGTGTTGTCTACCCTGATGCTGACAATGATCCTTAGGGAAGGTCCCTTGAGACTAGTATTTAGGATCATAATGTGAGGATAACAGGAATGGGTAATCAGGTTGAATTTTTTGATGAAAATAATATAATTAAATAATTTAATTATTGTGGGTTGAAACACTATGTGCTCACTAGAATTCCCCAAGTCTGACCCACTCAATTTCCTTGTATCACAGAGGATAATGGAATGTAGGCCAATAGGTTAATGTACTATTGTAAGGCCTTTAATCTTTCGTTTATGATTATGTAC